CTGAGTTGGGGTTGGTCCTGCTTTGGGCAGGGGGCTGGACTCCATGACTCCTGAGGTCTCTTCCAGCCCTGGGATTCTATGATTCTGTGTTTCTAAGCCTGAGCCACATGCACACGGGCGGGCCCGCCCGGAGCCATTCGTGCGCCCCAGGTCCCAGGAGTGCAGTGCCGCCCCCGGGAGTGCTGCGGATGCACGGCCCCGCCCCCGGGCGCACGCCACCCCTCCAATTTATAATTAGGCACCCCCCCATAGCTTGGCACCCCGGGCAACTGCCCGGCTAGCCCCGCCCTTAATCCAGCCCTGCACAAAGGGAAATTTTTTTTTTTAAAGGCGCACATTTATTGAATACTCAGTCATAAAGGACATTATTTTTATTCATCAAATAAACTAAAGAAACTAAAACTTAACTTAATTTTTTATAAATTAACAACTGAACTTTACTTAAATAAAAAAAAAAGACACACAAAATACCAAATTTTTGCTGTAGTGATAACCAGGCGTATACAAAGATACAGTCAATTTTGATGACCTTTATCTTTAACCAGATAATTAGCTAACCCAAATTAACTAAAACAGATGAAGGTTTCTTCACCTTCCTGTCCTAGAGAATGAGACGTCGCTCACCAGGTGTTATGAACTTAAATTCCTCAATCACACAATCACATCTTTGTAATTAACTGACAAAGCCAATTCTTGTTCCATGTACAAAATGATGAGTGATTCGAGGCGCTGTTGGGACACTGTACTTCTTAGTTTGTTTTTTACATGTGCTAATTTTTAAAAGGCTCTTTCACGTGAACAGCTTGTAACAGGTAAGACTGTAAAGCATTGAATAGATTTGTAAAAGACCTGGAACATGGTAGACCGATCCGATTCCTTTAGCCAATCAAGCCACTCTCTTGTGGTGTTTGTAGTGCTACCTTCAGGAACAGATCCGTCATAACCCCGAAGCAATCCGACTTCAGCTTCCAACTCATCCAAGGACACTTTAAATTTGTTGGCAATGATTCTCATATCATCCCTGCCAATGTCTAAGCTCAGCAGTTTTCCCATTGCAGTCACAATTTTACAAGTCTCCTGTTCAAATTGCTGGTCAATGCCGGTAATCACTGAGTCTAGGAGCAGGTAA